ATGATCTATGCTGCATAACATGCTCATCATCACCAGCGGTCTGCTCTATCATTGTCAGCTTCTATGCATACAACCTTTCCAAGAATTGAAACCTAGCATGACACCATCAGGCGTCTTCTATCTCCTTCAGGACAAGCCCTAAGTCAACTCCTAGATATGTTATCATCATCTCCAGTGCCTCATCTATGATAATCATGTCGTGGTCTAATAGCATTCTCCTTATCGTAAGATGCAGTAAGCATGTGACATCTTTTAGTGTGATAGATATCTCACCATGTGGAAGATGAAAAGATAACGTCTTAAAATGCCATCTCACAACAAACACAAAGAGCATACAATGTTTAATCATAATATACTAGGTATTGCATAGGTCACAACCTATATATTTACAACACATATAGAAACCATTGATCCTTAGGTTGCGTCAGACCCATAATATTTGAGCCATGCTTGATGCATTTTAAAGCATTATGGTCTTGCAAAAAAATAAATCATCATCATCATAAACTTCAAATATTATAACAAATGTGTTTCAAAGAGTTAATATAATTTAATATTACCTCTTCATCCCACATATGTCTGGAAGCATGGTTCGGATATAGAGGCAACAATGATAATTTGGACAAGCCTACTCCAATCCCTTGGGATTCATGGGGTTCCTAGGGATTCCCGGGGTATCTGGGATACCTCAGCATGTACTGGTTGCGATTTCTGGGCATCAGGAGGTGACACATGCCTCTTTTGGGAAGAAGAAGGCAAAGATTCATGAGCCCCATAAGTTGACGCATCTGTATCGACTGAACTAGAACTCATTGGTGCTTGTGAGGATTGGGCTCTTTCTCTCCAAATATATGCATATTGTGCAACTGTGTCATGCCTCAATCTAGCTTGCTTACAGGGCCAATCCTTTGAATTTGGGTGCCTTGGGAGAATCAAAAGAGTGATGCCCCTATAAATATTTTTAACAATAAACACATAAGGATAAAAGAAATAACTGGAAAAAACACATTTTCATTTGAAACTGTGCAAAAAAATACAAGTATGGATCTTTGAAAATGTTTATACTACATCAAAACATAAACCACTATAAAGAGACTTCTTATTCTTCTTGTTATTCTTCTTCTTCTTCTTCTTCTTCTTCTTCTTCTTCTTTTTCTTCTTCTTCTTCTTCTTGATCCGATCTTTTTTCATATAAAAAATTAAGCAAACCTTTAAAATTATTTAAATATCATCATTCTCTTAGAATTTTTTGTTGCAAAATTATTAATAATTCGTTCATAATCAAGATTCTTCAAAAAATTATTTTCAATTGAAATCAATGGAAGACTATTTAATCTATCTTGTGACATAGTAGATCTCAAATGCGATTTTAATAATTTTAATTCAGAAAAAACTTCTTTCAGCAGATGCAACACTGATACGAATAGTCAATATTATTCTATAAGTTATGCATGCATTAGGAAAACAATTAAAAGTCTTTAAAGAACTCAATATCATATAGCTTGATTTTGATTCGATTGTTAAAACTTCTCTAATAACTTTCAATTCTTCAAACAAAATTTCACCATCAAGATCAAGAGAATCATATTTTAAACAAGTTTCAAGATGTTTACAACATGCTTTCAAGTCCCTATTAGATAATGATCTAAGCCTTTCAATACTAAACAAGAATCCAAAAATATTTTCATATGTGTTATACTGCTCAAATCTTCTATCAAGTGAGCCAATTGTTTGATCTGCAATATATAAAAAATAGTGATTTCGAAAAGACTCTTCAGCAAACTCAAGATCCAGTTGTATGGATTGACATGGATTTTCATCACAATGTTGTTTTTTACGAATTGACGTTTTTGAATAAACACACATTCAATCTCTATTTCATTCCCAATCTTTTCAGCACTAGCCTTAGCATTTATCAATCCAGATTCTCTATATTTTTTCAAATACTTGATCAAACCTTTTACTGGTTCTATAGCCACATCAATACGCATGTCTTTTTTTTTTTTTGCAAAATTTTGCTAATTTCATTAACAAAAGTTAACAATTCAAACCATATAATCATAGCTACTAAAAATTCAAAGTTTCCAATTCCATGAGTTGCTAAAGATTCGACTTCACTCTTAATTTTGGGATCATTATCTTGTTCAGCTAGTTGAAGTAGTGCTTCTCTCACATCAGAAGTTTGAGATTTAATTACATATACACTATTCATATGACTTTTCCAACATGTTTGTGACAATGGTTTAATAGTTAAACCTTTCACACCGTCTGTAAGAATTTTCCAACATTTTTTCGAATGAGAAAATATAGTATAAATAAGTTGTAACACTCCAAAAAAGTCTTTAGCTTTAGTAAAGAATTTGCAATATCACAAAGTGTCAAGTTAAGGCTGTGACAACCACATGGTGTGTATAATGCTCTAGGGTTAACATCTAATAATTTTATTTGTACATCTTGATGTTTACCTTTCATGTTTGATCCATTATCATATCCTTGTCCTTTTACATTATTAATATCTAGATCAAGAATTTCCAATACATTTTGTAATTCGTCAAACAATCCTTGACCTGTTGTGTCATAGACTTTCAAAAATTCTACAAAAATCTCTTCAATTTTTATTGGACTTATAAAAACATCCACACAACATATAATGAGAGTCACTTATTCTTGATGACTTACATCAGTAGTACAATCAAGAATCACATGGATTTTTTTTTGCTTCTTTAAGTTTTTCGACTATTGCACTTTTGACTTCATTACCTAACATGTTAATCAATTCATTTTGAATCTTATGACTAAGATAATGATAATGAATTTTATTTTTCTTAATACGTTCAAAATGTTTTTGTATGACAGGATCGCATTCAACAATCATTTCAACAAGAGAAAGAAAGTTTCCATTGTTTTCCACATTAATCCTCTCTTTTTTTTCTCCACGAAATGCTAAATTTTGCTCGGCTAGATATCTAGTTACATAAACTATCCTAAGTAAGACATCCTTCAAATGTCTTTTTTCATCTCTTATAAGCTTTTGAAGATGTTTATCAATTGTTATATTTTTCTTAAATCTAACTTATAAGTCAATCCATTTACTCATGAAAAACATGTGTGCATCACTTGATTCATGTTCTTTAAGCCTTTCATAAATATGTTTACAATCATTAAAACCTTCATTTGCTAAGTGATTCATTCAACAACTTGTACCAAATAACTGACAGCAAAAACAAAAAACTCTGCCCAATTCTTTTGAGTAAACAAGTTAATTCCTATCTTGCTCTTCTCCATTAGAACAATAACAGATATAACATGATGATGAGAAATACCTACCAGAAGTATCTTTAGGACCGTTTATAATTGATAAATCTCTTTTAGGACCATTTCTTAGTAATTCATCTCTTAAGTCATTGATAAGGTTATTCCATGTTCTTGGATCATAAATGTCTAATAGAATAGACTCGTTAGGTTGTTCATCAACAAAAATAGGGATATGTTCATTTTTATTATTATAACCTTCATCATCAAAATTTCCAGCTATAACATCATCTTTTTTTTTTGGTTTTTCACCACCAATATAGTCCGGTTTGGGAGTCAGTTCTGGCATTAAATGGTTCTAGATCCCTCCCAATCGCAGTTGCGGAGGATCGAACCGTGGTCCTCCCTACCAACATCATCTTCATTTTCATTATTTTCAACCAAAATATTTTGCTCTTCAACAATCCTATTTAGTTGTTCATTCTCTAAACTCTCTTCTTCAAGGTTCAAACCTAGATTTGCATCATTCGAAATAGAAATTGTATGATGTTTTCCAAAAAATCATGAATAGCACCCTTTTGAGATTTATTATCAATTTCAATTAGTTTCTTTCTTTTTCGTTTTAGATGACCAGACAATTATTTTTTAGGCAACATTTCAAGCAATCAAAGAGATGAAACAATAATACCTGATGTTGATTTTTAATCTTCAACTTTAATTCTGATCAATTTGTTCCAACAGTCTTTGAACACCAAATCAAACTTGATCCTGAATAGTGAAAATCAACATGAAAATTAGCATCTTATAAAAGTTTTTTTTTTACTAATAACCATATATATGTTGTTTATATTTTTACGAAGATCTACAAGAATTTTCTGCATATTATACTATTTCTCAAGGATTTAACAGACTCTTCTCGAAAGAACGAGGATACAGAACTCGCAAAAAAATTCTATGATATTATATTGTAATCCAATATTTTTTTCTTCGTATTCTTCCACTCTCTCATAAAACCTCTATTATTTTATCTATGTATATATCCATTTTTTAAAAAACAAGATCTTTTTAAAGATTAATTTGCTAAAAAAACTTATTATTAGCATTTAAGAGGTATTCCAACAAAAATATTCATTTAATCATATATTATACCGTTGAGCATTGTTCCAAGTCAATTACATTAATAATTCAATTTATATTAATATGTTGATAAAATTTAGTGAGGTGAGAAAAATTAATGTGTTATTATAGAGTAAGATAACTTAAGTATTAATATTCAAACTATATGCGGCTTATACGGGGTTAACCCTAATGAGTAGTGGGCTTTTTAGGACCGTGCTAAAAAATTCTAAAAAATATGAGCTTTAATTTTTAAGATCCAAGTCATAGAAATTTCCGAACTTGTGGGACCCATACATACGAACTAGCCTATTTTAACGGTATATATATATATATATATATATATATATATATATGAAACACAATAAAATCAAGCCAAAAAATACAGATTGATATATTCTAGAGATACTTGTTTGTAATTCTTTAGAAAATGGCCCAATAAGATATCCAACTTTGTTTTTCCTTGAGATGGAAAAATTATTCCACCTGTCAAGTTCTTATAGGAGAACGGTATCAACTACCATAACTAACTTCTATAACTAACTCCTACAAAAACTAGTAAACCTCTCTCATTCATCAAAACCATTCATTCTTAGTTACAATTCCTTCATCTTTCCAATTCCAACACATCAATGAGCTTCCTCAACTTCATCACCACCTTTGAAAATGGATGGAAGCCTTTGCGCAAAGGTATCATCAAGTTCTTCAACTTTCTTGAAGGGTCGGAGCCTAACTTCACTTCCGAGGACCGAATGAATCTTTACACGTATCTATCAATCTCTCTCAATAACAATTAAGCTTTTCAATATTTCTGCTTTACCTTGCCTATGAATTATGATCATGTTCAAGAATTATGCTTTTTTTCTAACTTGGATGCTCATGAATCTATTTTGTTACTTTTCATCACTTTTAACTATTTGGGTTGCTTATTATTGCAACTTCTTGGTGGATTCAACATGTTTACGGCTTCCCTCATCACTTTGTAATACTTCTTTGCTCAATCTTGATACTCCTTGTTCTTAAATTGTAATGCAGGATCGTCTACAATATGTGCAACGAAGATCCTAAGTACAAGCGTAGCTATTTTCGAGAACTATCTAAAAAGTACAAGGATACATGTGAAGAGTACATCATATCAAAAGTGAGCCATAATGTCATTTTCCTTTTCTAGACCTTTGAATTTTGCTAAACATCGAAGCTCAACAAGACCCAATAGTGTATGTATTACGTTAACATGATTAAAATTAATGCAGTTTTCTTATTAATAGGTTTGGCCATCTTTGCAAGAAAAGAAAGATGACATTTTGTTGAAAGAACTTCTCAAAAGATGGTCAGATTATAAACTTATGACATGCGGCCTCTCGTCTATTTTTAACTATCTTGACCAATATACTCGGCATTTCACGTTTACTTCTCTTGAAGAAATCAACTTCTCATCCTTTAACTACAGGGTTGGTGATGTGATTCTTTAGAAAATTTGTAGTGATGGTTTTCTAATTTATTTACTTTGCATTTCCATTTCCTTTTTTTTAACATTAGGTTTACTTCATTTTAATTGTCTCAGGTATATGAGAAGATGAATAAAGATATATTGGATGCTATATTTTCTGTGGTATTCTCTATTTTCCTTTACTATAAATTTATCTTCATAATGCTACATTCAATCCAAATTAGTCATTTGATATTTTCCTGTAATACTAATTCTTGACTTAATTTGTTGGTATCCAGATTGGTCGGAAACTTGCAGGAGAGATGATTGATCCAACATTTGTTATTAACACGTTGGATTTCTACATAAAGTTTTACAAATGCACAAAAAAGGACAAGGCACAGGTGATTTCTGTAAAACTTAGTTCTTATTACATTATGTTGTGGTAAGCCTTGTGAGTCTTTAGGAAAGTTTCGTTAAATTCAAATTCTTTTTTAACGATTATGTTTGGATACTTTGGCTCAAAATTTGGATTTTGTTGGGACAAAATATATCATGTGAAAGATTTATAATAGAAATATTTCAGGAGTTCTGTATTTTGTATTCCAATTATTATGAAGCAATGCATCCGATTTCTTAAACTAGACTAAGATGTTTGTAATAATTGCAGGGAGAAAAAATGAACCGCAGATCAGCTTCTTTATCGAAGAAAATCAACTTGATAAACTCTGAGGGGACTGTGTTTGAAATTGACTATGGTATGGCACTTATGTCTAAAAGATTTGAGGAAATTACGAAGACCATTTCTGTTAGTCGTGACGTTGATGTTATTGCTGTTGATAAAGTGAGTAGCAAAATATTGACGATGATTGTTGAATACTGCAAGAAGCAGAGAAATTATCCTAATCTAATGACAGGGGATGCTAAATTTGTGGAAGTTGACCCGAGAACTCTGCTTGATCTTACAACATCTGCATGCTACATGAAAATCGAGAGCCTGGAGCAGCTAACATGGAGCAAAGTAGATGAGTTGATAAAAGGAAAGACACCGGAGGAAATTGCTGAAATGTTTGGAGATGTAGATGACTCAAACTCCAAGTTATTAGAAGAGAACATACAAAAAATAGAGTCTTTGGAGATGTAGATGTTTAGTTTTCCATCAAATAAGTACATTGGATCTAGTCCAATTAGAGTTGACAGAATGTTTGTAAATAAATTCTTATGCAATCATAAAAGGCTTAATAAATGAGTAACTGATATGGTATTGTTACTATATTTTGAGGTTGTTAGTAGTGTGGTTTAAAGTGTTAAATCTATGAGTACTAAACAAAGGTTATTCTTAGAAACTTAAAAAGCATCTCCAATACAATGGAGACTGTTTTACCTATTGGGCATAGGTGTTCATTAGCCACTTTCATTGGAGAATTAAAACATTGGTCTCAGTCACAGGAGAAAAGTGAAAGATTTCCCCTCGGTTCACACCACCAACCGAGAAAAAATGACGCTTTTTTCAGTGAAATGATTGATACAAAGGGTTCCATTGATGACTAAAACTTGTAATTATATATTAAAATGTAGACCTATCTTCCAAAGTTCATCCCTCTAAAACTTGCAATTATATATTAAAATGTAGACCTATCTTCCAAAGTCCATCCCTCTAAAACTTGCAATTATATATTAAAATGTAGACCTATCTTCCAAAGTTCATCCCTCTAAAACCTTCTAAAATCTTTCTTCTAAAGAGATCTAAAGTTCTGCATAGAGCTCTTTGATTTTCTCAATTTCATCATAGCTTCCAAGAAATATTGGTGATCTATCATGTATTTTCTCTGGAACTAAGTCAAGTGCCTGCAAAAAAAGTATATATGTTTCATGTTCATTTAAACTTTGATGAATCATGTCAAAGTAAAGATACAGAATGCATGAAAATATGTATGCAACCACTTTTAACTTAATTTAGTGAAATTGAAGTGTTGCAAAGATAAATTTTTGTAACAATTTAAACTATTAGAAGAAAGAAAAAGAATCATACATACCCTTTGTTTTCCTGTGAAAGCTTGACCTCCTGCTTGTTCCATCAAATATGACATTGGAAACACTTCATACAAAACCCTAATTTCACATTCAAATTTCATAACCATCAATTATTGATTTAAACATATCATGTCTAAAAACTATGAAGCACGGACACACGACACCGACACTGACATGTTGACACTAGTATTAATTTTTTTTAAAATGAATAAATTAAACGTAGTCACAAGTGTTAGTATCAATTTTGGACCCCGACACAGACGCGTACACACTTTTTATCAGAGCTTTCAATGCTCGGTGCTACAGATATTAGAAATCAAGACACAAAAGTATATCATAGGATCTTACCTTAGTTTTCCATTTGGATTTTTGGTATCAGCAGGGTACATGAAGGTACCACCATATAGCAATGTTCTATGGATATCAGCTACCATACTACAAAGTTTCATTCTTTGTTAGAACACAAAATGAAGACATTAATTTGAAGAAACTACAACAAGTTCAAAATCATATACCTGCCAATGTACCTAAGAGATTTTGGTGATGAACCATCTTGTGGAAACTTGCAATTTGCTACATATCTAGAAAATAAAAAGTTACAATGATTCAATTCAAAATTAATTAGTTATTTCAAATAGTACTCATGTGACAAAATGTTCAAAACTTACTTGGTGGTAGGTTCATCCCAGTTTTTCGCATTTCCTTCATTCACCGAATAAATCTTTCCTTTCTTCGGTACCTTGATGTTTGGATGAGTCAATATGAACTCTCCAAGGGAAGGATCAAGTGTGAAACCATTCACTCCATATCCTGTGCTAAGCACAAACTGCAACTCCACAGTTTATTCAATCAGAACCAAATACTCAAAACACGAAAAATATGATATGTAGTGTTGTTATTCGATGTCGGTTTTTACCGTGCAAGAGCTTCCATACATGCAATAACCAGCTGCTACTAATTTGCTACCAGGTTGCAATGCATCTTGAACGGTAACATTATTTATATCCTTCACCATGTAAATACCAAAGATAGTTCCAATAGAAACTCCACAATCAATGTTTGAGGATCCATCCAAAGGATCAAACACAACAATGTATCTTCAAAATCAAAAACAGAATTTGTTAATGTTACATGCATATTTATATGAAGCACTGACACATACACAACAACTGACACTATTAAAAACTAACATATATCAAACATCAGACACATGTATTAGGTGTCAATGCCACATAATTGAAGAGCCAAATTAAAATATGGAGTTAGTATTTTGGAACTTACTTGCCACGTTGTGATGGTGGCACAATGATAGCATCTTCATTCTCTTCAGAAACAAGAAGGCATGTTCTTCCACTGCTGATTAAGGCTTTCACAAATACTTCATTAGAAATCACATCCAATTTCTTTTGTTCCTCCCCCTTAAAAAAAAATACAAAAATTGATCAGTTTTAAATTCATTGAATAATCGATGTATCTGATAGTTAGTTACCGACTTGAATATTGGTGTCTCCAGCAAGTCCTAGGAGTTTTGCCAATCCTGCCTGTGAGTCAAATAAATCATAAAAATATTGAATGAATAAGAAAGAAAAGAGAAAAAAAGACTGAACAAGGAGAAGAGAGTTTGTACCTTGTTGACAGAAGAGCAAACGAATTTGCAGCCAAGAACAATGTGACTAATGAGGATGGTGAAATCACCACGTGATTCAGGAAACTTAGATTGTTCATTGAGAACAAAACGAGTTATTGTCATCAAATCAGTTCTGTTAGCATCTGCTTCATGATCCATCTTCCTCTTCTTCTTGTTCAAATGATATTGGTGATGTGTTGAGATGAATATGAAAGAGGATAAAGCATATATATTTATATGCTTGTGCGTTTCTTAATGAGCAATATAAAAAGTATTGTCAACGAGTGAGATAAGAACAACACATGGACACTGACCTGTTATCATGAATGAAATTATCTTATTGCTTTTTTTTTTCTTTTCTTTTTCTTTATTGTCTTGAGGTTGGATTCAAAGATTGTTTATTAAAAAAGAAAATTGTTGTATAATAATTCATTGTCCTCAAGTTGGATTCAGAGATTGTTTATTAAAAAGTAACATCATTATTACGGCTATTAAAAATATCAATTTTTATGTAATACTTTGTGTATAATATTTATTTATAATATAATAAAATTAGTTGTTATGCAAATTATTTAATTGTCCTTTCTTTATCTTTGGCCACATCATAGATTTGAGGTTAAATAATATTTATTTTTGTATTTTCTAACGACATCGTACGGGTGGTTTACTCCAAATGATATATCTATTAAATTTGATTATAAAATACTACACAAATTAGATTACTTGGCAACCAATTCTATTTCTGAATTCAAATAAACTAGGAGAAATTTTAAAGTACATCCGATGTTGGTCTTTTTCTAAAATATCTTATGTTATTTCTTAAGTTTACTGTGTTGAAAAGTCTGTAATGCCTGTAACAATTACATGTAATTCTAATTTTTGCGGTCATTTTTTTGTTCTCATCAAACCGCTCCTTTCCTCTCTCTTCTCATTCTTCAACTCACCCATCAATCTTCTGTTTTTATTTATTTGTTCTTATTCTTCAACTTTATATATCTGTTTCTTTGAGCAAATCCCTAATTCGCAATAGCCTGAAACTCTCAATTGGAATTCTACTTCAAGAAGGCAAGACCGTTTGAGCTGGTGAAGGACATCAATGACACAAAGGAACTGTGGAAGATAGTTGTGAGAGTTCATCACAGATAAATTATTGTCTCCAGAAGTAAAGAACACTTTGAGATGATTCTGGTTGATAAACAAATAATTTTTTTTGTTGCAAATCTCAGAACCGACCACTTTGGTTAAAACATTTTCAATTTTTAGGGTTTACATATTTTGGTTTCCAAATATCGATTCTTTGCATTATTGTCCCATCTAAACCATCTTTGGATTAAGTTACATCATTAATGTTATGTTTGAATATCATAACTTGCAGATTTCATATCCATTTGAACTATTTCAAATCCATTTGAACGAAATGATTTTACATGTTGCATGTAAAGCCCCAGATTGTCTTCAGGATTATCGACTGACCCCACAAATCAACACAGGTCTTTTCAGCATGATTTATCTTCACTCACACGCTTTCCGGGAAACTTCCCAGAAGGTCACCCATTTAAATACTACTCTAATCCAAGCACGCTTAACTGTGGAGTTCTTATCTGTCAAGCTACCAAAAAGAAGATACATCTTGTTGGTTTAGGTAGTACATATCAATCCTAATAAGTCTTCCTTCAACCATGTAGTTCCTTCCATACACAACCTCAGGATCCCTCTCATTTCTGATCGCGACTTTAAGAGTCTATCGGAATTACTGACTGCAAGTGCACAGTCTAATCGCATAGTTTTAAAAGATATCAAACCCACAGGGACTGATAATCAAACTAATGATATATAATGTTACTATGTAATCTAAGGCTGATGATTAATCTTAGGTTTTTGAGAGAAACGGGGAATAAATTCAGGTTTAATAAAAAAATTCAAATACGAGACACTGGTATGTAATTCGTCAGACTTCAGGGATTCGATAAACCATTGGCTTAGTTTAAAAATACTCTTAAGTAGAAAATATTAATTTGAAAGCCCTTATCTCACACTCTCGTGTTTATTGACTTGAACTATATTCTTAAATCAAAATGCTTGCTCTCGCTATCTCATTCGAATTTAAAAATACTTTTTGGAAACCAATAAAATCTAATTAATCCTAAAGCGCTCTCGCTGTATTTAAAATTAATGTCTAGTTACTACTATCCGATTAAAAATCTCAAACTCATGTTTGATTGATTTTAACCTTCGTTCGTCTTTTACTCTCGTAACAAAACTATTTTAATATTTTAATTAGAAACCAAAACCAGAAAAGTAGTTTGTAAATATCTGTGCCAATAGATTTCCGAATCCCTTCGGCTAGATTACTTTTACATACCGGTATCTAAGGAAATTAGTCGAACATGCTTTTAAACATAAACATACAATACCAAAAGTAGATTATATATCTAAGCATGATTACTGAAAATAGAGACAATAAAAATAAACTAAATTGAAACCTTGAATTAAAAGCGAAAACTGGAATATAAACTGAAAACTTCAAGTTTGCAATCCTCCACAGATGTCGTCAGGATTTGCTTCTTCGAAAATACAGAATGAATACTAAGATATAAATCTAAAACTAATTTTGCAATAGCTCCCCCAATGTGAAAATCTATCACTTTAATAGCGAGTTTACTGCTTAGAATCTAAAAAAAAGTGCTCTGAACTATAAAAAATTGGACGACCCTCGCAACTATCAAGCCTTGCTTCTTTTATAGATTCCTCCCCTGATTCTCATAACTTCCCTCGAGAAGAATCTGGAGTGCCTCCTTTCATGGAGAATCTTCAGGGAGGCCTGGTCTTGCGGAAAGAAAATAGGGAAAATAGTTTTCGTGGCTCTGACGTGGGAGAGAAACGAAATACGTGCTTGCCTTTAGAAGTTTGTGGCAGTGGCCACAGAAGGCGTGGCAAGGGCCACGACTTTAAGATGTGTGGCGAGGGCCACATAAGGTGTGGTGAGGGCCACAGAAGGTGTGGCGAGGGCTATAACCTTCTGTGTGCAAAATTTCTTCATCTTTTCTGCTACTTTCAGTTTCCTTGTGTTTTGTTTGCCAATTTCTATTCTTTTCTCGTGCAACCTTTTATGAATGAAGATACCTGAAATACAATAGCACTACCAGTATAATATGACATATATATAACTAAAAATGGTAAAATAATTCATGCGAGTCGAGTCAAATATACAATGCAAATTCGCGTTATCAAACTCCCCTACACTTGAACCTTTGATTATCCTCAAGCAAATAATCAGCATGAAAATCAATTTACACACGGGTTCGACACAAAAACACGACATAACTCAAATCGTACGTGCTTGCGAATCATTTTGTTAGAATGATAGATATTCAAATTCAACACTAAGGATACCGTAATGACACGAAACCACAAAACATGATAAAAAACTCCCTCCTTATTCAAAACCAGTTCGAATCATTCTATTATAGCTCAACCTATTTCTTTCATTTTATTTTACCCACTTTCATTCGAGAACAATCATATTAAGCCCTTTATTCGTGCATGCACATAGTAGGGTAGTCGGTTAGTAATTTTGATCCTTAAACACGGGGTTCTGGTACATGAGTTTGGTAACCCCTTTTATTTACCCAATTGTAAGTTGTAGGGGATCGGACCGTAGTCCTCCCTACCAAGTTCAGCACCAGACACCTCTGAACCAACTGACAATGGATTGTTATTATATTTTTTGTAGGTTCCACAACTGTTGGGCTAAGTGACCGGGTGAGGGTCACCTAACTTAATAGGTGTATTCCCTATTTTTATCATGTTAAGGCATGTAATTTTAAAATTTTGGGATCATTCACTTATATTCATTGACTCCCTACGTAGTTTATGCTTAAGATGGTGCTGACTGCTAATATAAACTACTTGGGGCTACTTTAAAACTCAAACTTAAGGTCTCAGCATAATAGGTACTCAAATTGATCATACATAATTAGGGAGTTTAGGGTGTCGTGTTATGAGTAAAACCAACAAATTTTTTGTTATGGCTCAAGAAAATTGGGGAATCAATAAATAAAGGGAAAAAACACGCATAGAGACTCGAGAACACAAGAATTTGACTCAACTAAAACTAACATTAAACAAAGTGAAGAATGAATAAAACTACCTAGAAAGCGATAAACAAAAGCAGTAAAGCTTTCTCCCCCACACTTGAATCGAACATTGTCCCTAATGTTTTTAAATAAGGTGAAAAAGAAAGGTAGAACCTGGAATCGTTGCTACTGGTGGCCTTTTCCACGTGCTCGTCCATGTCCACCATTACCAGGATGGTGAGGTGGCATATCCACATGATGAATGTACTCCTGTAGGCCGTCCAAACGCACTGTTAAAGTCATCATCTGGTCGATCATGCCTAACATTCTTTGTTCATTCCTGTCACCATAACAACACTCATCTTGTTGAATCTGCTGAATGATGTGCATCATATTAGTTTGTTGAGTTTGTATATCTTGAAGTCTTTGGCCGCGCTGAACATCCAATTCCTTACGCCGCCTCATTTCAGCAAGAATGTTGTCAGATGTGCTAGACGTGTCTTCATTTCTTCTTCGGTGTCTGGATGATGTACCTATAGCGCTTTCAGAAGGAACATGTTTGGTGTATGGGTGTGGATCAATTTCAGGTGCACCCTGCTCCATATCATCGAACTCATCATCGGTCTGGCCACCTTATACACCTTGTGTAGGCATATTGGGCTCAGGGGAAGCTAGATCATATAGCAAATTAGCCATATTTTATGCATTAGTGCGATTGTGACAAGACAAAATGACACTCTTTACCGCTTTATTTCGGACCATCAGATTATATTTTCCATCTTCTCTAACCTTAATCAAGTGTGCTGATCGACAATTTTCGATGTCAAGGAACAAGGCTAGTATTGATGGCAAATCAGTAAGTTTGTCGTTTAGGCCCAAAGCAAGTGTTATGGATGTGACTATCCCCCATATACAGAAAGGATGGGTTCCTCTTGCACAAATGGAATGAATGTGTGCGAACAAAAATGGAGTGGCATTGATTCTAGTCGGTGCAAATATACAGTGTAAAAAGAATAACTCTTTAGAATTCACCTTGTGGTTGTTTATCCTGTCAAAGATTGTGCTTGCCAGAACATGGTGAAA